ATGTGTAGCTGGGAGCTGGGGGTGGCTGTTGGGACTAGGGGTCCTCTGCTTTCCTATCCCTAAATGGACTAGAGAATTGATTGATTTTGTTCACAAAGTGAAAGAAGAGGTCCGTATACAAGCACCATTCCCCTTATTTCTGCTGGCCCTGCCCTATGTCAGTCTCGGATGTGCTATCCCATGGGCCATACATTTCCTTTCTTGGAGGCCCGCTGGACAGACAGGCTACACCTCATGCTCCACCCATCAGATCTCAAAGGTCAGCTTGGAAGTTCAAGAGCATCCAAAGACTGAGGAACGCTGTTTGAGAGGAATTTGGCACTGAGGTCCAAGAATTCCCAGAGGGAATACAGTTGGGCTGGAAGACCCAGAGCAAAGTGGTCTTAGAAACACTGCCCTTTTTTCTGAGTTGAAAAATAACCAGCTCCTGGGTCCTCAGCCCAAGTGGGTGGGTGCTGCCTAGAGCGCAGCCCACTGCAGACAGGGGCATCCTCAGTTCTTGCTCCGCTTGCCACATCCTAGGTGCTACCCAGTCCTGACTCCAGATGCAGGGAGTCTAGTCCTTCTCGTCCTCTTCGGCACCCCTCTTTCCTCTGGTCCCCATCATCTCCCCCATGGAGTGAGTCTTCAGCCATTACAGTGTTTCCCATCTCCTCTCAAATAACTCCTGCAAGGAGTGCCTGTCACCTCCTTCCAGGCAGACAAGACCCCCCCCAACCCTCTTGGGTTTAGCTAGCTTGACCTTCCCTGGAGCTTCGCCTGGATCCTGGCCTCATGGGATTCCTCATGTGGCTCCTTCACCCCCTTGCCTCTCAGACCCTACCTCCTGCAGCTGAGATGCCCTGCTCCTCTGCCTCACCTGCCCCTCCCTGCGTGTATTTGGTCTCCCCAGGAGAATGACCAGGGGGATCAGGGTCTGATTTATGCACTGCTAGAGCCTAAGCAACTAGTTCATCATGCTTATTGAATCAATGGGAAGGAATTCTGTGCTAGGAATAGTTTGTGATTAGCAATTTGAAGTGGGCCACTTACCAACTGCTGTATTTAGCGCCTCTATTTTTTTTTTTTTTCTAGAAAATATACTGACTTGGACAGCTATCCCCAGGAGTCTGCTGTTGAAATATTTCCTCAATGTTCAAAACATGTCAAATCCTATTCTTGCCTCTGGTAGACCCACCCCCAGTCCTGTTAGGTGAAGCAGAGAAGGGTCTTCTCAAGCCAGCTCCGTCCTGAATATATACGGCTGCACTGATCTATATCTTTTGCCCCTCCCCTTCCTCCTTCCTTCACTAGATTGAACCAACTGCCTTGTGCATGTTAGGCAGAGCTTTTCGACTGAATCCCTCACTTTTCCACTCATTTTTATTTTTTATTATGAGAAGGGGTCTTGCTGAGGTGCCCAAAGAAGTCATCTTGAAAGTAATGCTGCTGGGCTGGGGAGATAGCTCTGTGGTCTAAGCAGCTGCCAGGTAAGTACAAGGACGTGGGTTCAATCCCCAGTACCATATGCTGCGCAGGCCCCAAAACTGGGCATGGTGGCACACACCTGTAATCCCAGCCCTGGGACAGCTGAGACAGTAGGATCACTATGAGTCCAAGCTGCATAGAGAGATACTGTACCAAATAACTAGATAAAGGATCAAATTTTTTTTTAAAAGTAATGCTGCTGATGAGAAATGGTATACAATAATATTGTTTTTAAACTGTTTAGGAAACAGAATAGCACAAGGCCCTAGGTTCAATTTTAAATGAAAGAAAGAGGAACAGAGAGGAGAGTGTGACATGCCTTTTGTGCCTGTGCTTATTCCTGAGGAGAGGACAGCAGTGCACAGAGTGGCCTGCTGGAAGGCTGACAGGATGCAGCCTGTGCTGGAGTCCCAGGCCTATGGCTGACCTTTAGGATGCTGGCCAAACCCCACATGGACTGCTCTGTCCCTTCATCTGTCCTAAGTGCTGTAATGAAGCACTCACTAAGGTAGGCAGTATGCTGGGTGCTGGGCAGCTCTGGATGAACTGTGCGCAAGGTCTCAGTCCTGGAGCTCAGGAGGACTGAGACTGCAGGCATCCTTCTGGAGACCACAGCTGGACCTAAGACCTAGACCACCGTGGTCCTCAGGATGCCCAGCGGTTCTCATGTGACTCCCCCTCCCCGCCCCTAAGATCTTTTGTCAAAGACCTGGCTCTGTGACCTCAAAAGCATGAGGTGTCCTGTGAGTTCCATGCTGGTGTCTGAGCTTGGCCCCTTGCTCCATGGAGCCCCCCTCTGCACCAGGCCTGGGGTGCCCATTTCCTGCGCCCTGGGCAGCAGGATGCTGTTTGGGCCTGGCATGCAGTCGCTGAATTACTCTGGAGAAGTGTGATGGAGGATGGTGAAGTTTGGCAACATGGCTCTCCACTGGTTGGGGAAATGTGAACACCAGGTGCCCAAGCCCAGCTCTGTGCAAACCTCTCCCCTGCCAAGGGCCCCGGCTTTACTCTTACACTCTCCAGGGCTGTGTGCCTGTGAGATGTACTTGGGTCCTCAGTTCTTCTTCTCCTTCTTCTTCTTCTTCTTCTTCTTCTTCTTCTTCTTCTTCTTCTTCTTCTTCTTCTTCTTCTTCTTCTTCTTCTTCTTCTTCTTCTTCTTCTTCTTCTTCTTCTTCTTCCTCCTCCTCCTCCTCCTCTTCCTCCTCCTCTTCCTCCTCCTCCTCCTCCTTCTTTTTTTTTTTTGCAAATGATCCCTAAGACTTAATTTTACAGCGTGCCTTATAATTTTGGAAAATTTCATCATTCACAAATTGACAATTAGCAATGGACTATATATAATACAAAAAAAGATGACATGAGAGCAAGTGCTCTGTGATCCCTGGAGGTCCCCTCCATCTTGTGTGTGCCTAGACCCATAGTGTCGACACACTTCCTTCCGGCCTTCTCCATTGGGCTGCGTTCCTTGATGGCGGCAGGGAGCCAATATCCTGTGTGGGGGCGGCCTGGTCTCACAGCCTGTGTGGAGGGCGTTGGCTGAAGCATTGATGTGCATTATTGTATTCAAAACTGACAGGTGCAGTCACATCCCTGGCTGAGATTGAAGGCTGAGGTCACCCACACAAGGAGGACTAAACCCTGAGCTAAATGAAGCCTTGAAGTAACAGGAGCAGGTCTGCACTTCCCAGGAGGGGATGGGGGCTCCCCCTCCAAAGTACAAGGTGATCTAGAAGAACTCAATTTACACCCTTGGCTCCCGTGGGCTGGGGGATCAGCAGAGGGCGGGATAATCCCAGCTTCTAGAGCAGATGGTTTCTGACTACCGCTTGACCCAGTTCCTCCCAGCAGATGACTGGCAGCAGGGCTGACAGCTCTGCCACCAGGGGAGAAAAGTGTGGACCCTCTTCCCACCAGTATGGACATGGTGGCATTTGCCTGCCCCTGGTGACAGGTGAATGGGCAGGATGCTGTACCTATCCCTCCCTTTCCCCAGCCCTCTCTGGCCCAGGTGAGGGCAGGCCAGGATTGAGGCTGCCCAGGCTTGTGCCAAGGAGTGGGGGGCATTAAATCCTTCATAGGCTTAATGACTCATTCATTCAGGCAATCGTTCCTTCAATAAGCTCTCCCTGGTGATCTGTCAGGTCTGACACCAGACAAGACCCAAGAGGCCTGGTTCCTACATTTAAGATAGTTGAGGAAGTAACAGCCAGGAAATCACTATGCAAAGCACAAGAGGACCAGAAGGGGGTTCACCAAGGAGATACAGGGCTTGGTCCCAAAGATTGGAGACTATGCCAAGTGGTTGGTGACTTTGGTGATGCAGAAGACCAGAGTGCATGTGCATGGTGAGTGAGACTACGCAAACTCAGGAGAGGGGGCCCAGCTTGGCTTTGACCAGTCCCTCCTCCCCAAGGCCTCTAGACTCCTGAAGAGAGCAGGTGGAGGAAGCAGATGGGGGCAGCAGAGAATGGGACTCGTGGAGAAGTCTGAAGAGGGCAGAAGGGCTGCCAGAAGTTGGGAAACTCATATCTGCCCTAGTTTTGCCCAGCAGACTTTGGGTCGGTTCCTCGGATTGGGAGGGAGGGGGCGCTCCACCTCCAGACTTGCTGGCCCTGGAGGGGTTGCTATCCTGGCCAACCGCCACAAGAGAGGCTGGCCAGGGAGATTCTCCATGAATGTGGGGGCTCCCTCCACCCTGGTCGTCCCTAGGTGTACCAGGAAAGCTAAAACGACCTCCCACTCCACTTCTCCCTCAAAGTGCTGCCTGTTGCTGGTTGAGGCCCGGGTTAGCTATAAGAGGAGGTGGGGCTGTGCTCTGGAAATAGGACACTGTACCCTGTGGGCACTGTCCTGCTGCTCCAGACCCAGATGGGGGTGTGAGGACCAACGGAAGGACCCTGTTGTACTTAGGGTTCTGGACCGGGCCTGCAATCAGTTTCCACTGAGGGAGTGTTTCTCGTGTGGAGGCCAGAGCATGGCGTCTGGAACCACTTTCTTGGGTTCTGTGAGGAACTTGTCCAGTCACTTCGTTTGGGTCTCCCAACCAGCCTGTGTGATGTAGGTGTCACTGAGCCCCTCTTACAGACTAGGAGGTAGAGATCCGAGAAAGTGAGTTTTGGGAACGGCCTCCTACAAAACAAGCAGGGTCTGAGCGCCAACTGGAACCTCTGTCTGACATGCCAAGAGTGTCAAAGTGGGGTCGGAGGTGCTGGAGACCCACCCTGCCCGGCAAGCCCTGGGTCTCACAGAGGCCTCGGTGCATGAGGCTGGATCCTTGCACAACCCGGGGGATGTAGCACCTGGCCAGGAGGCCACTGCCTCCCTTGCCCTCGGGCCTGCGAGACCCATGTCTCGGCAAGTGCGACGGCGACCCCGGGTTCTCGACGAGGGCACTGCAACCCAGCAGCGACTTCCACCCGCGGAACCCAGGGGCAGCGCCTAGGGGTTGCGTTACCGCCCTCGCCTCCCTAGGCTGCAAGTAAAAGAGCACCCCAGGGGGCTGGGCTTGCCTCGAAGGGAGGAGGAGGGACGGCGGGATGGGATGGGGTGGTGGGGCAAGTGCCCCATCCATCGTCCAGAGTCTGTCGGCGCGGGCCACTGCACAGCAGGGCGAGGGTCGGAGCACCCACGTGGTGGGAAAGTTTCGAGGTAGCAAAATGCGGCCCGGCACCGCAGGGTGGGTGGGTCGGGACGCAGAGGGCCGATTTGCCCCTACTGGCGAAAGCAGAAAGCAAAAAGCGGAGGCGAGCGGGGTTGGGCGGGGGAGCGGGCAGCACCGACCTGAACAGATTCCGCCTCCCCCTCCGCCCCCGGGAAGCCCGAGTGGGTTGGCGCGGACCGTCTCCTCCCGCACGGCCAGGACGACACTCCTCCGCCCCCCTTTCTGCCGACGTCTATCTCCACGCGCGCGCACATATGGAGATTGTGCGGCTTTTTTACCCCTCGGGATAAAAAACGGGGAGTGTAAAAGAGAGGGCAAAGCGAAGAACTCCTCCTCGGCGCGCTCTGCTCTCCGCGCGCGGCTGGGCGCAGAGACGCCGCCGCCACCGCCCGCTCTGCCCGGCCTGCGGCGTGTGCCAGTGGGAGCGCCGGCAAGGGCACCGCTCCCGCGGGAGCCAAAGACTTCGGAGCTCGAGCCGACTCGCCGCCACCGAGGCAGGCAGAAGACGCGGCAGGGAGGGCCCCGCGCCCCGCCGGCCCGCG